AAATCAGTCATAGACCAATGAAAAGACAGTGCCAAACTCGTTTTGTAAATTGGAACTGTACGCTTTGATGGTCGTACAAGTGTTTACGGGTATCCACGTTATTGCTAATATGGAGGCTAACGGATGGGTATCTTTGTGGGGCCTGTTGCGGTTGCGCGTATGTGGGAAGAAATACGAAAAGGCTCTTCTTGACGGATATGAGAAGTCGTAGAGGCCATTGAGATCAAAGAGGGCATTTTACTTGTTTTCCATGCGTTTCAGCCTGGTTCATGGATCCGCTGTCATTGCGTCGTCCAGTATGGTCGTACTCGTAGCCGCAAAGAAGCACGGTGGATGCTCCATGCAACCAAGCGAGTGGTGTTGTGGGGCATCTGAAGCATTTCCCGGCACATGCCCACGTGTGCCTCGTAGATTTAAGAACGTTCGCGGGTTGAAAAAGGCTAAATGCAAGATGCCGATAACGCCGAAATTTGATAGGAGCGACGACATGGTAATGCCTGAACGTCATACTAGAAGGTTTTCTGACATCTGGAGAGTAAATTTGATGCAAGGTACCATCCATGATGGGGTTGCGTTACCGGGTAAGTTGGCCTCTTCCGAAAGCATGTATTAGCCGCTGTCATCCGCGTCGCGCGAGGCTCTCTGCTGACCAGTTTTAATGAGGCGCAATGCCTTGGGCATCCATGGCGCACGTACGGCACAGAAAAAACTCCATCGTTCGATCTCAGTCGTAAATCCGATGTTTGGTATGAGGACAATAGAAGGGCTGCAGAGCGGGGAATCGCGACGCGCCCATGACGCGTTGACCTGCAAGGGAGGAAGCAGCCACCCAGCCACCCGAGGATCCACCGTCCAAGTCACAGCACCACCAAAAGATACGCCTAGGTCTTTTTGTAAACATGCTGGGTATTGAAAAACAAAGATGGCTAAATTTACTACGCTCTGAGTCCCTCCATGAGAGCACCTTCCTCTCTCTTCCCCACAGCCTGAAAGACAGCACCTTCGCCACCAATATCCAGTCCCTTCTCCGCCCTCTCATACGCCTCATCACTCCTATCCAACAAGATCTCCAACTCCTCTTTCCCCAACACCTTCCCACTTTCCGTAGCCTCAACATCAAACTTCTCTCCATCGCTTCTCCTGAGCAGCTTTTGTAATTCCTCAACCTCTTGCTCCTTCTCATTACCCCGAGTCCCGCCCCGGTCATTCCGCACACCGCCCTTCCTAATGACAAGCTTTTCGAGTCGACGCTTCGCTTCTGCAGATTCAAGCAGTTTCTGCTCGACGGTGTTGCGCGTTGCGAAGCGGTAGACGATGACGTTGCGGGTTTGACCGATGCGATGCGCGCGGTCCATGGCTTGGAGATCTTGCTGAGGGTTCCAATCGCTGTCGAAGAGGATGACTGTGTCCGCTGCTGCGAGGTTGATGCCTTGGCCGCCGGCGCGGGTGGACAGGATGAAGATGTCCGCAGCCTCCTTTGTAGTAGATGGCTTGTTGAAGGCTAGGATTTGGTCTTGACGGTCTGTTTGTGTGACAGATCCATCGATACGGGCGTAGTTCCAGGATCGTAGGTCGAGGTAGTGACCGAGGAGGTCTAGAGTGGTGGTAAATTGTGAAAAGATGAGAACCTTGTGGCCGCGACGTATCAGCTCGGGGAGAAGTGCATCGAGGAGGAGCATCTTGCCAGACGTTGACACGATTGTCTCATCGGGCTCTGTCTCCGATGCGAAGGTTTCGGCTCCGTCAGTGTCTGCTCGTATGAAAGGGTTGAAGAAGTTGTATGGCGAGTTACAGCACAGTCGGAGCTGCATGATGGGGTTACCAAGCTTCTTCTGCATGAGCTGACGCTTTGCGATTTCGAAAGTCGCAGCTCGAGTTCTCTCGTCTTCAGCATCAGAGCTCAGGTCTTGTTCTTCTTCCTCAGATTCTTCTTTCTCTAGACCATCGAAGTATTCATCATCGCTCACTTCTTCATAGTTCTTCTTGGGCCGGCCTCGGCTTCTCGTTGAGGCGACAGATGCGGGCGTACCTGCTCGAGACGTCTTCGCGCTCTTACTCGGTGTCTCCCTGCTACTCAAAGCCTTACGTTTGAGAGTACCGTTGTTACTGCGAATACTCAATGGCGTTCCTGCTCGACTGCTGAGACCAATGCTCAATCGTTCAACAGCCTTCTCTTCGAGATAGGATCGACTAGTGCCATCGAGAATCGCCTGGTACAGCTCGCGTTGCATGGAAGTCAACGGGGCGTACAACACATACTCGCGTTTCTTGGGCATCAAGCTCTCGACATCCGTCTTGACTCGTCGCAGCAAGAATGGCTTCAAAACAGCATGCAGTGACTTGACCAGATACTGCTGTCGCTCTTCCGATAACAGCTGTTCGAAGCTCGATTTGTCCTTCAGCCCAGAGAAGTCGAACCAGCTCTCAAACGTAGATAACTTGTCGAATACCGTCGGCAGTAGGAAATGTAGCAATGACCAGAGCTCCACAAGATTGTTCTGCAATGGTGTACCGGTGATGAGGAGACGGTTCGCGGACTGGAACTGTTGCAACTCGCGAATAAGCCGACAGTCAAGGTTCTTGATGCGATGTCCCTCGTCGATGATAATGAACTGCCAGCCAAAACTCGTGAGGTACTTGCGATCGTTCATGCAGATCTCGTAGCTGGTGACCATGATAGGGAAGTCGGCGGTACCGGGGTTCCGTAGCCTAGTCTTGCGCAGTCTTTCGCGCTCCTTCTTGTCGCCATGGTATAGCATGACCGGCATGCTTGGTGTCCATTTTTCAAACTCTGCGACCCAATTACTTGTGGTGCTGAGCGGCGCGGCGATCAGGAATGGCCCGTACGACTTGTTCTCCCATAGATGTGCGAGCATAGCGATTGTCTGGATGGTCTTGCCCAGACCCATCTCGTCTGCCAGAATGCCATTGATGCCATTGTTATAGAGTGACACCATCCACTCAAGGCCCTCGAGTTGATATGATCGCATGGTTCCTCCAGTGACCAGTTTCGGCTGCCGCGCAGATTTAAGGTCTGTCATGCCAATGTCGCCCATCTTCACATTGTCCTTATCGTCCTCTGCTGCTTCTTTCAAGGCCTCTCCCACGTCCTGAGTGCCTGCCTTCTTTTCTAAATCAGCCTTGCTGAAGTAGCTTGCTATGTCTGAAGTTTGCTTCTTGGGTCTACCACGGCCCTTGGTGTCTGCCTTCTTTGGTCTGCCCGCACGTTTCTTTGGCGTACCATCCTCTTCTTCCTGCTTCACCGTTGTCGCGCCGTTGGCCGTGGATCCGCGTGTAGCTCGTCGCTGTGATGCTGCCGCTGTTGTGTCGGCGATCTTTTCGCGCTTCGAAGTCTGGCCGTTCGTCTTCTCGTCTTGCTCGTGCTCCTGTTCTTCTTGCTGCTGCATCTGCGCAAGCATAACCGATGCATACAGCTACCATACGTTAGCGATCGTTCAAATCAATACAGCACACGGTCTCAGAGATGAACTGACCTTGCTCTTGTTCATCAAGAACTCCAATTGCTGGAACTTCTTGTCGAGTACTTCCCTGCCGCTCTTGATGTCTTCTTGCCTCTCCTTCTCTAGTTGTGCTTCGCGTTTCGCGTCATCTTTTTCGCGTTGCGTTCTCATGCGCTTCTCCTCCTGCTGCATCGACTGCGGTACACTCTCTGAATCCATGTCGGCTGGTGGTGGCGATGAAGCGGGTGTAGAGTGCGATCCAGACATTGCGCTGGTAACAGGGGAAACGGTCATGTCGCGTGCGATAAGAAGGATTGCTTCAAAACAGGATCAATGGGAACGGTGGTATTGTATCTAGCGCCAGGGGTATGTGGTGATGACCGCATGCAGTGGAACGCGGTCGCGATGAAGGGGACGCGCTAAGTGGAAAATCGATGACGATGTTCTCGACGCGCGATCACGCCTGAACTTTAATTACTTTGTCCACCCGTCCCGCGACGCGACTACAATCCGGCCAACGCGACATTAGAGCTTCAGGCGATAGAATACTGCGTCCTCTGGGTTCTCGTAATAGCTGTCAATCTCCTCAAACCCGTATCCCTCATACAACTTTCTTGCAGTCTTCATGCTGCGTAAGGTATCGAGCAGCATCTCTTCATAACCTAGCTTCTTCGCATGCGAGAGCGCAATTTCCATCAATGGTTTGCTGAGACGCATTCCCCGCGTTTCTGGCGCGAGAAACAAGCGCTTGAGCTCGCATGTCTTGGTGGGTGGTGATGTCGATTGCGCTAGTAGTGCTGCAGATTCAGCCGTGGTGGGCGTCGCGAAGAAGGGTCGGATGGCTATGCATCCTATGGCTCGCTCGTTCTCTCTTGTGGTGCTGAAGCCGGCGGTACTTTCGTGACTTTCCTCCTCTCCTGCCGAGGAGACCAGTAGCCAAACAGCCCCTCCCTTTTCAGTTGCGTACTTGGCAGGTAGTTCCGCCAACTCGTGGTCGAAATTTTGAAAGTCTAGGCTGATGGGCAATGACTCCGCGTACGCCTTGAACAGCTGCCCCACCACCTGCTTGTCGGCGGGGAATTCGGCGTCGCGGATTTGTATGTTCGGAAGCTCAGGCATATCGGAGTATGTGGGTCCTTGTGCTGCGGAGGGATAATGAGGTTTTTGAAGATGCCGTGAGGATCGCAGGTGTAGTAGATGTCCACGGGTACCAAGCTTGATTGCAACACGTCTCCGCTTACTTTAAATACGAACCTGCCTTCGAGATGTTGCTCTTGAAGGGCGCAATTCTAGCTTTGCTAGCCCAGGCTTGTTCTCCACTTTCGGAGTTCGGAGTGGGACTCATGTTCTCGAGGGTTCGCTAATGGTGGAGCATCGTGAGCGCTCTAACCTCACCAGCGCTTCAGTCCTGCTTCAGCTGTTTTTGAATTAGTATATGTTGTATCTAATTCATCAAATCGCCATCAAATCACGTGTTACGGTCTTATGGTGAGCCCACATCACCACACCATTCAGCATCAACACCATCTAACAATCACCAGGTCTAGTGGTATGATTCTCGCTTAGTAAGTTGACTCACACGTAAATCACCATCTCTTCCATTCTAACAAGTCCCAGGGGTAAACCCAAGCACAGCTTGCGAGAGGCCCCGCGTTCGAGTCGCGGTAAGACCCATCACTTCTTTTTTTGCGTTCGCGATGGACTCAGAGTCTCGAACGACTTCTCTTTTTGCATGGATAGCGTACAGCGAAGACAGCGTTGTTGCAGCGCACTTAAGAGTGAGCCTTATCTCACCTTAGACTAGGTTGATTGTTACAATGCTCTCTTCTACCAATGACTTTGAGGACCGTTGCTTCGGGATCTACTAACAAACTATATCCTGGGACCTGCGTAGCTGAGCACTTCGCGCCCTCTCTGATAAGACACTCCTCTTCCCCATACGTCTTCAAGGCAACCTGCACCATTCGCAAGTTTGTGGCGCAGTGCTTCTTGAGTCTGTATATCTGAGAGGGTGCCTTCCTTCTGCTACTCGCGCCTTCCCCACCATACCTGAGTACCCCTCACACAATGACCATCCGCCCGGCAACACCGGCCGATGAGCCCGCCATGGCATCTCTCCTGGCCAAAGCATTCTTTGATGAATCGCTTTTTGGCCAGACCCTGCATCCTCACCGTAACCAGTACCCAGACGATGTCAAGATATTCTGGTCCGAGTACCTGCGGGAGCACTGGAAGACACCCAGCGAGAGACTTCTTGTTGCAACCACAACAGTAGAGGGAGAAGAAAAGATTGCTGGCGCAGCTATCTGGAATAGACAAGGTGATGACGAGGGGAAGCGTAAGGTGGAGAACGAGTGGGTTGATGTCGGTAAGTATTTCCAGCTATCCTGGATTAATTGATACCTATGCTAACATCCATACAGGACCGGATGCTTTCCAGCCTCTTCCCTCAACAACAAATCGGGCTCTTGATCCCACAAAGCGCAACATCTTGGAGGAAACTATGCCCTACTTCAAGCACCACTGGGATGGCGACCGCAGAAACAACTGGTATCTCGACATCCTCGGTGTTCATCCGGACTATGCTGGCAAATCGCTCGGGCGAGAACTGGTCAGCTGGGGGCTGGACCGCGCAAGAGAAGAAGACGTCCATGCAAGTGTTGTGGCTAGCAAAGGGAACGAGCGCTTCTACCTACGCTGTGGATATGATGAGATAATCGGAAACTGCACAGAAGGAGAGGGCAACCCGCTCAAGAATGCCGGAGTTGAAGGTGGAGATATTCTCTTCATGTTTCCGAAGCAGAAGCAGGAATCTGCTGCCTCGTAAGGGCGAATCTGCCCAAGCATCAACCGACACTCGTATCTCGCACAACCTGTTCCGACGCGTCCGTCGTCGAGATGGTAGCCGATGCGTCACGACGCGTCGCGGTGCTACCAAGCCGATTCTCGGTCCGACAGGTTCCTACATTACTCGCTAGCGAGACTCCGAACCTTTCCAACCAATCACCAGGTCACCAAGTTGAGCCGAGTAATCTCCCGGTGCTTTTGCGGGGGAGCTTTTGCGCGCTTTCTTACTATCGTCGTCATTTGCGGGTAATCGGGGGACGGAGCAAGAATGGATCAGACTGTTGAAATAAAAATGGCATCGCAGGTTGGCATCGTGCGGAAGTACCTCTGTCATCTCTCAATTTCTTACAATCATGAGGCGCTCATCTCCTGTCTTGGTGTCTCTTGCAGCACTAACAGCAAGCCATATCATTCCTCGTCAAGAATCCATTGATTACAATGCTGCTCCACCAAATCTCTCCACTCTAGCTAATGCGTCGCTTTTCGACACATGGCGACCGAAGGCCCACGTTCTCCCAGCGTTTGGACAAATCGGAGACCCGTGTATGCACTATACCGACCCAGAAACCGGTCTCTTCCACGTGGGATACCTGCATCTGGGTGCATCAGGCGCGACTACAGACGACTTGGTTACATACAACGACCTGAACCCCAACTCCGAGCCGTTCATCCGCGCAGGCGGGATCAACGACCCCGTTGCTGTCTTCGATGGCAGCGTGATTGAGAGGGGAGTTAACGGCACACCAACTTTGCTGTACACTAGCGTCAGCTTCCTGCCAATCCAATGGACGATCCGGTATACCAAAGGAAGCGAGACACAATCACTCGCCTTTGCTACGGACGGTGGACGTAACTTCACAAAATCAGAGTTCGGTCCTGTCATCCCTGACCCACCGTTTGCTGTCAACGTCACCGGTTTCCGCGATCCATTTGTGTTCCAGAATTCGCAGGTTGATGGCTTATTGGGCAAGCGCGATGGAACGTGGTATTCCGTTATCTCGGGTGGCGTGCACGGGAAAGGACCGAGCCTCTTTTTGTACGCTCAATACGACGACGAAGACAGAGATTTGTTTCAAACCTGGGAGTACTTGGGCGAGTGGTGGCATGAAGCGGCGAATTCGACCTGGACGGATGAGGGCTGGGCGGGGCGCTGGGGCTACAACTTTGAAGTCGCCAACTACTTTGCTTTGGACGAGCAAGGTGCTAACCCAGAGGGCGAGATCTTTGTTACAATCGGTGCGGAATGGAGCTACGAGCCTATTGTGCCTCAAGTCTCGGACAACAGAGAGATGCTCTGGGTTGCCGGAAAACAGGAGCTCGTCGACGGTAAACTGACTTTCGAACCCACGATGGCTGGACGACTCGATGCCGGACGGTCCGCATACGCTGCCGCCGGTAAGGTCCTCCCTGCGGACTCACAAGCTAGCAAAGCTAGCGGCTCTCCGGATCGCTTCATCACATACCTCTGGCTGACAGGCGACTTCTACGGCACCTTAACTGATGAGTTCCCAACTCCCCAGCAAAACTGGACAGGATCCCTACTCCTCCCACGTGAACTCAGCGTCGGCCACCTAAACGTCATCGACAACGAGCTCTCCCGCGAGCAAGGTGCATGGAGAATAGATTGCGAAAATGACAACGGAACCGTCACGCTCGCCACCCTCCACCAGAAGATCGCTCGGGAACCTTATGCCGCATTCCAAGAGAATGCCACGAACGTCATAACCCAATCCGGTGGATCCATGGCAAACGCAACGAAATTCAGCGAAAGCCCAAAGTCAAAGCACTGGATGATGACCGCCTCTGTCACCTTCCCCTCTCGCTCTGACGACGTACGTGCGGGCTTCACCATCCTCTCCGGACCCCAAGAATCCACAACCATCTACTACCAATTCAGCAACGAAAGCATGATCATCGACCGTTCGAACTCTTCTGCCGCAGCACAGACTACAAACGGTATCCCCACAGACAATGAGTCTGGAAAGTTCCGCCTGTTTGATGTTGCGGGCGGACATGGAAACGAGACCATGGTTGAGACGCTGGATTTGACGATTGTGGTTGACGGTGGTGTTGTTGAGGTGCATGCGAATGATAGGTTTGCAGTTAGTACTTGGGTGAGGAGTTGGTATGGGGATAGTACGGATGTTAGTTTCTTTGTGGAGGGTGGGGAGGTGAGGTTTGGCGATGTGACGGTTTATGAGGGGTTGGTTGATGCGTGGCCGGAGAGGAACTAGAGTGTTGGAATTTTTTTTTTAGAGTCTTAAGCTTTCACTCGTTAGAGTATGCTGCTATCGTGTAGAGTGTTGGAATATGGAGCTCCAGTGGGAGATGTATATAGTAAGAGCTGTTGTATGATACTGTACCCTATGTTGTTCAGATCTGTTGACTACAGTAATATTATCAGGTATTCGTTTAGACTGTCGAATGCGTTCATAAGTATCTGACTCAAGTCATCCGTCAGAAGGACGACTGAATGTTTCAGGGGAAATTTAGCTCAAGATCAGGCTCGCTCATGTATTGGGTTTCGGTGATGGGGGAAACCGTGGGTAGCGGGGAAGATTACGTCAGCGACGTCGAGGATATCCCTCCTTTTGGCTAGCACTGCCGCGGTTGCACGAGAAGGCGCGGTGGCGCGCTCTCACCACGAGCGAAACACAGTCGGCCAGACGCAGCTCGCAATGAAATGTGTTTCTCATAGTCCCAAATCACCTACCTCTCCCATTCCGAATTCGCTCAGACACGTATAAGACATCGCGTATCTGGTTTCGTCCGAGTTCCTTTTCTGCTAAGCGCGTTGCTGCCTGCGCCTGCCTCAACGCGCGATATAAGCTCACAGTACCCTGGCACCTTTCACGCCCAACTGTGTCAGAAGCAATTCTCGTGACGCGCAATCGTCAGAACCTTCTCGTCGCCCTCCATCCACCGACACATCCGCATCCCCATTATCGAAAACCACAACGCAACCCCACCAACGAATCTCGACCCGTCCTACACGATGACCATGGCGACAGTTCGCGAAGAAAGAACCCTGTCCGACACTCCAAATGGACTCTTGCGCAGCCAACACGAGTACTCGTACCGACTCCCGACAGCCCCGCGTATCGTGGTTCCCCCGCCTACCCTCACCACCGATATGCCCGGCCTCTCCCTCGGTGGCGCATCTGGAGGGGATGCTGACATGAGCTTCTTGAATGAGCTGGACCTCGAGGACATCATACAGAAGAACACACTGCTGGAATGGGCCTATGAGCGGCGGAGAGAGGCGCAAATGATCTTGCCCTGGGTCTATCTCGGGCCCATGGTGGCAGCCAGGGACAAGAACTTCCTAGAGCGCGAGGGCATCACCATGGTGCTGGCTATCCGTGCGCAGGCTAAGAGCATGATGGGCGCGACGAATGCGGCTTCCCAGGTCTGCATGGAGGTGGGCAGCATCGAGGCGCCCAGCTTCTACAGCCTCACACCACAGTTCCCGGAAGCAGCGAGGCTCATCAATTCACATGTCGCACGAGTACGACAACATAGCTTGGAGACGACAGGACAAGCCACTCTCGGCAAAGTCCTGGTCTTTTGTGAATCGGGGAATGAGAAGTCGGCTGCAGTCGTTGCAGCCTACCTGATGCAGACGCTCCACGACATTGACTACATCAAGGCTATGCAGGTCTGCCAAGCGCAGCGCTTCTGCGTCAACTTCGACGACGTCTTGAAGAACATCCTGCGCGCTTACTGGGACATCATCGGTGCACGACGCTCTATCGCCACTTCGAACGCTCAAGCGACCCAGCAAAATGGTCTCGGCCACGGTTTCGCCGGATCGTTCTCGCTTCCTGTCCCGTCACTCAAGCACAAGCGTAGCGTCCAAGACATGCAGGACCACGATGAAGACACGGACATGGACAGTGGTATGGACGAGTCGGACGCGCTACGATTTGCAGGGCGTGATGTCACTCCCTTCCAGGATCGCTAGGTGTAGGCTCCTGGCTTCGGCGATTCTATTGATTTGTTTGTTAGGCGTTCCAGTAGCATTATACCCTGCATATCTCAAGGCGTTATATGGCGATGCGTCTGCATCTGAAAGGTTGGTTACGTGTGAGTTAATTCTGGAGCTCTGATGAGATGAGTGGATACGTGGGTTGGTTGCTCCTTCCATTCAGGCTGCCCGTAGTATCTGGTAGCGACACCAACGGGTCCAAATTTTCATCATACACGGCCCTTGCGCCTTCACACCACTTTGCGCTCTGCAACTCATGCCTGTCCTCCTACTTCAGACTGTGTACAGTCACTTCCAAGGTCGTCAATTATGCGTCTGCATCGTGACACCCCGAACAGGTAGCTACCTAGGTAGGTATGGCACCTTCCCTTGGCTCGCCAGTTGAACCAGTGTTAATCATCGGGCAAACAGGTTCATCTGCGACAACCATGGACGCACCAGCAGAGACGAATGTCTTCCATGGTGAAGCATCTCGCTCCGATATCATTTCCCAAAGAAATCATTGACTATTACTGCTCTTCTCCACTCGCAGGTCGAGATGTTAGCGAATCATTACAGTGCCTAGTGGCTGCCTTATCTTTAAGAGTCACTGTGTTCGCACGTGGCTGTGGCTCTTGCAATATTGTTTGACCCTGGCAGTACCGCCCCCATGATGGCCGCTGACTTTCACTTTGTATTGACAGGGCTGCTATTGCACGCTAGACGCGTAGCAGTCACGATGCGGTGTCATAAAGGCCCAAACATGGTGGATGCGGTGAACTCTACGGTCACCACTTACCAATATCCCTCATCTTCTTCGTTCACAACGGGCTAGAACGCATCGATACCCAATCATCGCTCACATCATTCTAAAGTTCACGATATGCCTTATAGCCTCCGAGATCTAGCCAAATTGAAAAAGCCTGCACGCTACAGGTCCACCGCTGACGAAGAGTCCACTGCCCCAGAACCAGCTTCTAGCGACCAAGGTACAGACCTGAGCGACCAAGATGAGGAAACCCACTCCCAAGGACCTTCGCGCACAAATACGCCGGCCCCGAACCCAGACTCACTTAGATCTTCGTCTTTCACTAACGACGACGTTTATCTCACACCACACCCATTTTCGCCGCTCTTCATGTCCAACGCACCCCACCCCGCGCCAACAAGCGCAAGCAATCCACCAAACTCCCAAGAGAGTCGCAAAATGGCAAACATCAAGTACGTAAAGAAACGCTCTGGCGACGAACAGCAGCCCCAAGCAGCGCCAGTAGTACGCGACTTCGCCATGCGCCCTAGCAGGACCTCTCAGCGCGCAGCAGCTTCTGAACCCGAACCTGAGCCCACACATGTCCCTCAGAAGCCAGCGGCGTTCCCTTCGCTACCAGCCAACACTCCACCACCGCCGTTTGACCCGAAATTCTCGGGTCATGGTATGAGAGAGCTGATGGCGGCTATCGAGACCGGCGACAAGACGCGCATGGAACACATCAAAGACCACTTCAAGATTGAATACGAGGCGGGTAAAGATCCCTGGTATGTGGCCTTGAGGCGTCGCTGGGACCCTAAGATGGTCGATTCCAAGGTACGTGAAAACTGAACACCCTGGAGCCGACGTTGGCCTTAGACCGCCTACTTTGCATGTTTCCATCTTGATGTAGGCTCTGCAATTATTCATGAGGCTAACATACAATGGAGGTCACATTCGAATCTCTATGGACATCACTACGCCAGACCATCATCGAGCAGATAAAGGACGACTTCATTCCCGGCACCTATATCAGTCGCTTCTACCCCGTATGCTGCATCCTGAGCCTCTCCAAGGCGAAGCTGGATACGATTATGGCAGAGAACGCCGCAGTATGGGAGACCGAGGCTGAGATCCCACAATACTTCAAAGACTACAGAAAACGATACTCCAATGCCATCATCGATCCGGATGAGCCTCCCCCCACCGAAGTAGTGAGGGCGATCAGGTTCTTGAGACAGCAGAGGCTTCCTGTTAGTTTGTTGGGCGAGTGGCAGGCACTGCCGGGACCTGAAGTATTTCACCATCCTCACATGTTTCACCTTCCCACTGTACAACGTAGTAACGATCGGTAGGCGTTTCATCAGCCTTCAGATAATGAAGTAGCAGAATCAATGGATGAAGTTAACCCGGTTTTCCGTTCTCAAAAGCGTAAAAGTAAACAACCAAACCACCTTTCGTGGAGACAGACCCGCAAGCTGTTAAAACGTGCTGAAGGACGGGAGGTTCGACAAGCCGCAGAAAGGCAAGAAGCATCTAAAAAGCGGCGGCAAGAGCGATGCCAAAAGTGTGACAAGGAAGGCCATACATTGTTGGAACTCGACGAGAGAGGAGTATATAAAGTAAGTAACCCGTGCCCCCAGCCTTGTCGAGCGCACGAAATAACTGAGCTGACCCTATCAAAAGTGTCCCGCGCGCCGACAAGAAGTCCTGCAACACCAGACAGAAGTCGACACCCTCCGCGCACAAGGCAACGCTGAATATGCAGCGCTCGATCAACGTGAGCAAGAAGACCACACAATCAAAAGCCACACTTCCTAACCTACCTTAGCCCCCGGTCCCATGGACGCCGCCCCACTCCTCGAATACTTTCACAAATTGAAAGCCAACCCAAACTCAAATCCATGCCTCGCCCGGCAAGCAAACCCAGCCGCACACAATCCATACATGTCTACAGACCCCAGAGACCCATTCTATCTACTAGACTGCTTCGGACAACTTCTGACTCCTCCACCGAGTCCCTTTACCAAAGCGGGTTCAGCGAAAAGCAGTTTCTCAGGCAGTCTCTCAGACATGGGGGAGCGCTATAGCACACCGTCCCCACTGCTACAAGAATTGTCCGCGTACACACTGCCAGATCCGCCCGTTTGGCCGAATACGGATCACTTAGCTGGTGTACGTATGCCTGTGCAAGAACAACAACAACAACAACAAACCTCGCAGCAATCTGGACCGGCGCGACACGTACCGGCGCAACACGTACCGGCGCAACAAATTTCGGCACAGAATCTACCGGCACAGCATCCACAAGCACAACCCATACTAGCACCCCACATACCCAAGAAACGCGGCCCATATAAGACAAAGGACAAGTCTCTCAAAGCGGCTAGTATCTCGCCGATCAATAGAGTGGTTGGTAGAGGTGGTATGGTCAGTTTGGGTCACTCGAAAGAGGTGACGGATATGCTCAAGGCGCAGGCAGAGGCGCAGGCACAAGCATCATCACAGGCGCAGGTACAAACACCGGTACAAACACAACTTCAAGCACAAGTCCAACTCCAACCCCAAGCACCGGCACAGCCTCGGAACGAGGAAGTACAGAAGGAAGTTGAGACGAAGCTAGATACGCCGCTGTTAACAGATACCACATCGATAGTTGAAGATAAGGATGAGCCGGTACTTGGAGGTGCGGTACTACCACCGTGTCCGTATACGAACCAGACAGTGACGGCGACTGTGCAGGAGCAAGGGAGTGTGTCGACGGTAGGCAAGACGGCGGATGGACGTGAGAAGGGGAAGGGGAGGGCGGTGCAGATGTAGGTGGAGGAAGAGGAGGCGCTGGAAACATCATGTGCCACTGTGCCGCTGTGATAGATCATGAGATGGTGGTTTAGACTGGGGGTTTTGGATGGGAAGAGGCATCGTATCGCATCGTTAGATATGCCTGACACCCATATTGTTAGGTCTCGATATTCAATACCATTCATCACCTTCTGTACATGTTCCTGTGCACCTCACATCACCGCAATAGAATGTGTGTTAAAGCGTGAATGTTTTCATTCTTGATCCAAGTGGGTATAATGCGTCCGTCATCTATATCGTTTCCAAAACCTTCTCGCCAGAACTCCTTGCCACGACTTCCATTCGGCATCCGCTCATACAGATGCCAATCAGCTGAACTGATCGCCATGCTCACTCTCGCCTCCAACACGACGCCCAGCTATCCTTCCTTGGCTCAATTTCCACCGCCACCGTCGTTCCCGCTCGTCCTTCTCCCGCTGTTCCCGTTGAGCTTTCTTGCGTTCGTATACAGCGCGGACGGTGCGCTTCGTCCGTTCGGCACCTTCACTGTAGTTGGCGCGAGCGAGGTTTACGACACTGTCGATTTGCTCGGGTGTGTAGACGAAGTTCCAGGTTGACATGAAGTCGCTGACCTTGGGGTCAACGCCGGGTACCTTTGGGTTGGCGAGGAAGGGGAAGTAGATGACCGTGATACCAGAGGCGGGGTGCATGAGTTCCCAGTCTTCGTCTACTTGTTTCGAAATTGGGTGTTCGGTGTCGGATTCGCGTTCCTCGGTAGTACCGACCCAGATGTTGCAATAGCCTAGGTCTTTGCTCTTCTTGCTGTCCTTGTTCTCGTCGGCACTCTTGTCCTTGGCTTCTTCGAATTTGGTTTGGGCTTGTTGTTCGGTCTTGGCTTGTGCGCGCTCGAGGTCTTCTTGGAGGTCTTCCATGGGTTCGTTGTCTGGTGGCCAGCCGGCGCCGACGGGCCATCCCTTGATGCCGCGTTGGCGGGCGTAACCATCAGCAACCTTTAGCCAGTTATCGGTCTTGACATCAGCGGAAGCGTCGAACGCGACGAGGATGTCGACGTTGCGTCCAGGTCGGAGAAGAGGATAGATGGGTAGATTGTTAGACATTCCCGCGTCCATGAACTGGAAGTTCTTCTGTTCGAAGATGCTTTCAGGACATGATGGGGGAAGGAGCTCGCGCATACCGAGGGCGTAGTTGGGCATGGCAGCAGGGTCAATCGGATGTACCTTGACGAGATCATCATCGCGCTCAGCGATCATGGCGTCTATACTGCTGCCGAGACCTGTAATACTGCGCATAAGGGGTCGAATCTCTCGATAGTAGTGTGAGAGAGTCGCACAGAAGGCAGACCCCCAGATCCCCATGAGCAACGGAACGCGCACTTCGGGCAAAGCCAGGCCATTCTCCCGCCAGACTGTGCGTCCATTCTTGAACTGACGGCCCATTGCCCAGGTGGGTATGCCAGAAGAGAGCTCCTCGCACCACATCTCGTACGGCGTGAATTCGAACCATTGGAACCAAGCCTCTTTCCTTGCCTTTGCTTCGGCTGCGATGCGGTCTGTTGTGTCTCCTTGCTCGGTGAGCGGTATTTCGTGTCGTACGGCCGTGTAGATGGGTAGTGGATGGGCTCCGTTGTCGGTATAGCGTCGCTGGTTCGAGACCTTGAAGTCGTATTCGCTGACAGAGAGTTCGCCTTTGGGTACGAGCAGGCGGGCGGCGAGCAGTGCGCCGTAGATGTCCACCAGTCCAAAGTCGGCCTCCGGGATGCCCTTTGCCTTCTCGACAAGTCCGCTTAGGAGATATTTGTTGGTGGGCGCGCTGACGAGAAGTTCGAGCGCATCGGCTGGGAAGGCAATGTGTACGCCGAGGCGGTTCTTGAGGTGTCTGATCATGCGAGCGTGGCTGCGCTGGGTGAGGTCCGAGTAGTAGAGGGTCTGTAGCCAGCAGCTGCCACTGACACCAGCCGTGTAGGTGACACAGTCGAAGAGGCCATGTTCCTTCGAGGAGAGGTACGACGATGTGCCTGCCACGAGCGCACGCAACCCTCCACCAGAGCCGCACATGGCAATGACGGGCACGTCGTCGGGATGTATTTGCGCTTCGGGAATGTCAAGGTATCGCGCAAGTGCGGCCTTGGTGAACTGCGCCCTCTGCTTCAGGAAAGCCTTTTCTTCCTCACAGAGCTCGTCCGAGACCCTCACAGAGGCATCCCATATTATCTCTGGGTTGATCTCAGGATCATTGGCTTCGTACCAGATCTCTTCGGCGAGCGAGCCCGGTGCCATGGAGAGCTCATCCTGGAGTTTGCGGATGAAGCCGGGGAGGACCTTGACCCAATTCGGCACGATATAGTCAATGATGGTATCGCCGAGCTTGGAAGGCGACGGGGAGGCGGGGAACTTGCTCGTGATGGTCTGCCAGGCTGACTTACTCTGGCCGGCTTCCTCGTCCTCTTCGCTGTAGCCCTTGGCAACACGCGTCTGCGATGGCGCCTCCTGCTCACCTGACTTATGCTCGCCCTCCTCATTCACCTGCCTCTCGGCGTCTCCGACCGAAGTGGTCTCGGTTTGTTTGTCATTGCCGCCGAAGAAGTATCGCTTGAGGGAAGGCGCGTCCAGGTGGATGGGACGGAAGAGTGGGTACGGCGACGATGCAGAAGAGAGATAGCCCGTCGCAGCAGTCGCGAGGAGACACGGAGGGCCGTACCGCAGGCCGAGCGTGGCAGCCTTGGATCGCTGGGAGAGCGGGTGCTTCGTGTGCAGGCTTGTCCTATGTATTAGCAGGGGCATACAATGGGTGGTGTGCTAGCTTACCCACGACGCGTCCCCCGCAGCCATCGGTGGCCCAGGTTGCGCGTGTTCCTATAGCCGGCCATGCACGCAATTGAGTCAGAAAGGGCAATGGGGGTGGGATGGAGGTGCCGTGCGAGCCTGGCACATGGGGAAATGCGCAAAGCCCACCGTCGCCCATGGGAATGCGTTAAGCATGACGGAGCATGTAACCTGCTTTGAGCCCGCAAAATTCCGCCAGAACTGGTTTCGGCATGACGCCAGCCGAATCACTGCCCGCTCAACGTCTGCCAAGCCATGCAGGAACGCTGAACCTGCCGCCAATCAACCCATGTCTCCACCATCCACTTGCGAAGACACCCGCGTTATTCGCGACTTACATGAGCTACACAACTTTGGTCCTTGAACGCGATAGGTCCATGGTCTATTCCAGTCTCGTATCCCAGGCACTCCGGTTGCTCGCAAACAGACATGCTTCAGCACCCATTCGCTACCAGCATAGAGATGTCTTTATTTTCGACTGATGCAACAGTCATTGAGATTGCAGCTTCCTCCTGTTTCCTGCCAATTCCGACGCGCTTCGTATGACCAACCTTACTCTCCGGCGAGAGTGCGGAGAATTCCCAATCCCCTCACTCACCTGTACGTACCTCAGAGCATATCGAACATGGTAAGTAAAGGGCATCATGAGTCGGTGCATGTCCCTTCTCTCACCTCTCATCCTGAGCTTGGGCTGTATCTCATCCCTCAGGACGCTACTTATGCTCTCTCAAATCAAGCCTTCTTCTTCGTCTCCTCTACAATCCTCTCTCATCGACCATACTTTCTCTTGAATCATTGATACAACCACTACTCTTTCGGCTCGATTGGGCAAGTTCTCCCTGATCCAAATCGTACAATAGTCTCCAAGATACGATGGCATTCCGAGCATCGACAAGACCGCCTGGTCGGAGCCAAACACCTTCCCAGAAACGGGACCTTACCGCCATGCACAATGCGACGATTGACGAAGAACTTGCCAACAACCGTTGGTATGCCTTGAAACAAGAGGAAGTTAAGGTCTTGGTTAAACAACTTTGCGACAAGCTCACGAGCGCGATGCAAAAGTACTCGTCTATCGACCAACGCTTCCAGGATTTGATCGATGCAGCAAAAATCGCAAGAAAACTACCTGACATCAGGCATTACAGTGTGGCAGTACTTGGCGAACAAGGCATCGGCAAGAGCTCCCTCGTCAACGCACTACTCGATCGAGGCCTTTTGGACCGATCAGGTTCGTCAAAAGCATGCACCGCTTATGCAACGGTACTTGAGTATAAGCCCGGAGCTACCGACCACACCACTCTGAGCGATCTTCTAGTTGTGTTCTTCACCAAAGAGGAGATCCGAGATTCCATCAAGGAACAGATGAATCACTGGGTCGAGGTCTACCCTGGCGTTGAGGATAATCGCCAGCCCCTCCGAGGCGAAGACGAAAACGATCCTGACGACAACAATGCTACTCAAACGCCACGTAAAAAGTTATCCAAGACGATGTCGCGTGCAATCACTACTGCCAAAGAATTCTTCGAGATCATCTTCAATGTGCAGAAAGATAAGCAGGCAGGTGTCGAGCTCGAGAGGGAACTCTATCACACGAACATCAAAGAGGGGAACTTCTTGAACGATTGTTGCAAACGAGCCAATGATCGATTCGCCCAACTTGCCACAGAGATGAGCGAGGTGGACCTTGAAACTCGGACCGCACATTTCAAGGACATCCCTGACACCAGGCTTGGGAGGAAAACAAGCAAGATCAAGGAGCTGTGGCCATTCGTGAAGGTTGTAACCATTGCGACTGGTCACATACTATTCCGGCATGGTTTACGTCTCTTCGACTTGCCAGGCAAGTCAACGGCTATTTTGGGACGACGTTAAGCTAACGAGAATAGGTTATGGCGATATGAGTCAGTTGCGTGAAGGCGTCATCAACAACTTCCGCTGGAAGGCTGACTTCGAGATGGTGGTTGCGCCATGTTCTCGACTGCAGACCAGTGTCCTGCATGATGAATACATTGATCGATCGGTTCACCTCAAAGGAGCGAACAAGACTATATTAGTCATGAACAAGTGCGATGTCAGCTGAAGCCTTTTCTCTACTGAAATACCCAACTGACATGTCTTTCAGGAACTCATCAACGAAGACAACATGGGCACACAAATTCGACAGATCAACGAACACCCATTCCCGGCTCTTAACACACGATTAGAGACCATTGATAGTCTCTACGAAGAAGGGGATGCCGATGATGACGTCATTTCCGACATGCTAGACGAGTTACTGAGAGAGGCCACGATTGCTTACATAAAGTATGAGACAGCAAATGTGCAGAGACAAATGCAGCCTAAGGGAATCAAGGTTTTCTCGGTATCTGCACTCGCCTACACCTCATCGAGAAGTCGTATTCAGAGGGACACTCCAATTCTTGACGATACTACGGCCGGTATCTACGCGTTGAGACACTTCCTCGCTACCTTGTCGGCGACCACCAACTACCAGAATTTCTACGAACATGTTCATGAAAAGCTACCATCATTCCGAAGACAAGCTGAACGACCGTTGGAGAAGCACATAGAAGACAAGAGTTATGCTAAGATGCGACGCGACTTGAAGGCTCAGATCCAACCACTTCGGAACAATCTGAAGAATCTCGTTGACAGTCCTCTGCAGTCTCTCGTAGGAAAGCCTTGGTCTCAAAACGAGGAACAGAGTATCATTAGTGGCATACAGCAGCTGGTGCAGAACTCGTGGGTTCATCCCTTGATCTACTACCCGGGCTTTGCGAAGATGCTCGCGGAAAACGGCAAACCAGTCTCCGGCAAATACAAGGGCTATAACATGAACTACGAGCTCCTTGGTACCATGAAAAGGTTTCTGGACAATTGGTATAACAACTTGGACGCCAGCACCGTGGAATTCGCTATGAGTTTGGATAGGGGGCTTCAAAAACTGTTGCTGGACACTCGATCGGCCATCACGCAGTCATCCGCGCATCCAGCTCTGAAGCTCAGAGCTACTGAAGAGTTGGCCCTAGTAGAACGACGCGTCCAGGCGGCATATGACATGTTGCTCGCTAGTCTTCGCGTCTCGCTTGGAGAAACTCATCTGCGATTCACCACAGAGATCGACATCTACTGTCCAATAGCAACTGCAATGAAGGCCTCCTACGACCTAGCCTCCGATCGAAACATGGTTGGCGCTGGCCCAGGAATCTACAACAGGCAGCGACAAGCGCTACAGAACTCGATCATCGGCAACCCAACCTATGGAAACTACGGCTATGGTCCACCTGGTGAGGCGTTGCGTCCGCTTCTCAAGAACATCGAAGAAAAGCTTCAGACCCAGCAGAGAGACGCATGGAAGACCGATTGCGATGCCTTTGTCACCAGCGCTGTTGAGCTTGTTGAGGGATTTTCAAATACTGCTGAGCAGCTTCTCATGAACTCCTCGTATGTGACCGAAGAGCACAAGCATGCTCGTGGCGAGCTGAGGAAGCTGCTCAATGACTTCGACATCAGCCTGGAAAATGTTCAGAGTCGATTTGTCGGCGGAGAAGAGGAGCATACTGAGAAGAAGATCAAGCGCGAGGAGACGGAAGATGAGGTACCGATCGCACCATCTACTCTCGATCCGCTGGTCCCTTCCGTACCGATCTCGCAGAATGAAGGTTGGACTCAGTTCCGCGAGTGGTTTGGTGGCGGTCGCCCTGGACAGTGATAGTTAACTGCGTTCTGTCTTGACTTGCGGATTGCATGCGTATGCGTCACATGGTTTCATTTCCTGCTTTCACTATTACTCCTTCGATTTTGTCTTTTCCCGCGTTTTCATGACTCGAGAAGTTCATCAGATCGGCAAGCGACCATCATTACTTCATCTTTATCCTTCCAAGTACCATCGATGCCCCGGCGAGCATTTCACGTGTACGGGATAAAAACACCATAGCTTCTGCGTATCTAGTCTACTCACTTAGTACTCAATTGTATACCCTTGTACAACATCCGTCTGTGCTCACATACGCCACAGTGGTACTTGAATGCAAGGCGCATACGCGTCGCCGAAACATATGTGATACGCAGACAGCGGGTTTCCGGTAGCAGGCGAGGCTGATTAGCGCATGTACCCGCTGTGAAAAACGTCATTCTGGGGTATCAAGGCCCGCAGATAAATTGACTGCCGTGCACTTCTGCGTGTAAGAAGCATGTATTACGTGAACTCACGATGAGTAAATCGACTGCGCGGCTTATCGCAAAGTGAAAGGTGTCGAGATGATCTACGCTGGACCCTGGCCGTCTTAGCGTTGCCTCCGCGACAGCTCTCCGCAAGCATCCCCTCCCACATCATCCTACGGGGCGCATCTCGTATTCCCCAATTGGCTATTCTTTCGTTTGTACAAACATATGCTGTACTTCATGTTCGCTTCATTATTACCCGCCCGTTTGATATAATCGAGGTCGTCCTCGCCGCCGTACGCGCGTACACGTAGCCCTCGAGGCAGTTGCGCATCTATCCAGCAGTCGCCATGGTCGCCCCTCGGAAAGCCGCGCTCCTGGAGGAGAGCGCGGAGGTCGAAGTGCTCTTTGCCAACATGGAGAAAATGAAGACGCTCACAAAAAAGATCCAAGGCTCTGTCAATAGGCTCGATGCGAGCGGAAAGGCAGTCCAGGAAGCAATCGGCCCAATCTACGGCAACACACAAAAGCTACAGATAGCAAACAACAACGTCGACCGTATAATAGACGCAATCGACCGTCTCCGAGCCCCGCGCGAAGAAAGTGCAAAGGAAGAGAGGATTATCCGCGCTGGACCTGGACGAGGAGACCTGGACGGCTACATTGCTTCGCTCGACCGCACCAACATGAGTCTCGCAGACCTCAAGCGCACCAACCTTCGCTCCAACGAACAGGCCATCGCAGAGCTTAGCGGGCTCTTGAAGTTGGGCAACAAGCAATTGGAGGATGTGTTCCGCGGCATACTGCAGGATAGCGCGCGAGAAAAGGTCCAGGCCTTGGAATATGTCGCAAAGCGTATGTCACTCATGTGCTACGACTAGGGAGATACTGACACTGCATAGAAAACCCGTTCCCTCGCATGCCCCAAGATAAGCTCCAGAGCCTGCGCAGCATCAACTCGCACATCTCCAAGTCCTTCGCCCAGTTATCGCAGATCGATCTTTCGCAGACCCCCACACGAAGAATATACGCAGACGTCCGGGGCGAATACCTAGAGAGCGCACTGAGGAGTCTCATGCAGGCGACCATCAGCACAGCCAGGAAGGTGCAGGCAGATGCGCTGTACAAGAAGGGTACTAATGGTATCGGTACATACGTCCAAGCGATAGAGGGTCTCTTCGTAGCGGAGTTCGACAACCTGAACTACGTCTTTGACAGAGAGGAATGGGCCGATGTCTACGAGTCAACGTGCCAGGTCCCGCTGCAGGACTTTAGCAAGACTCTACGTGAGCTGAACGGGCATATCCAGAAGAACCTGCTGACGGACTGCTTTCTGGGATACGAGATTTGCGGGTTGGTCCGGACTCTGTCGATGCGGCTGCAGAAGCAGACTGGCGCCCTGAAGGATCAGATCTACGACAGTGTGAAGCCAGTTCGGGAGACGTCGAAAACGTCTCTGAGCAAGATGCTCGAAGATACACGGTCAAAAACACAAGGTCTCATTGCGCTTCCTATCGACGGCGGTCCGGTGGACATTACAACGCAGACGATGCGACGCTTGCAAGAGATGACCAACTACCTCGAACCTCTCGCTTCAATATTGGCATCTTTGGGAGAGGGCGGTTGGAACTCTGGATCGGCTAACAACTCATCTACGACTTTGGATGTTGGCCCCGACGGCGTGAAGCTGTTTGGGTCATATGCGGCGGATACTGTCGACACACTTCTGCAGAACCTGATTGGCAAGGCAAAGACACTACTGAAGGGCAAGAACCTACAAGGCGTCTTCATGGCCAACAATATCGCTATCATCACACGCATCATTCGCTCTTCAGAACTCGCACCGCTCATGGACAGCTACTCCAAGAAGCTGGCAGACTGGCGTAAGCAAGGCACGGCCATGTATCTTGAAGCGTGGCGTGAACCATCAGGGTACCTGTTGGATGTGCAGTACACGAACCGTAGTAAGGAACGCCCAACGTCAGGCGGTGCAGATTCAGCAGCTATCGTAAAGTCTCTCAGCTCGAAGGACAAGGATGCAATCAAGGAGAAGTTCAAGAACTTCAACACAAGCTTTGACGATCTCGTTACACGACACAAGGCGTACGCAATGGAGCCCGAAGTGCGGAACCAGCTTTCCAAGGAAGTACAGAACATCATCGAGCCGCTGTACAACCGGTTCTACGACCGCTACCGGGAGATCGACAAGGGGAAGGGCAAGTACGTCAAGTACGACAAGACCGAGTTGAACAGGGCATTGGCGAGCTTTGCATAGCGAGGTGCTGCGGCGTTGGATCGGAGTTGTTTGCTTGGAACATGCGCAAAATACCCTTTGATTTGCATAGATAAGACGATGAACTGGATATGGGTATGCCGATGGTCGGGATGGACGCGATGTAATTGGATAGGTGTCGAGTCTCACATCCCGCGTCCTGTGGTGCCACGCTGCAGCAGCGTGAGCGGCAGCCTTGGGGTGCGACAGCGGTGTCAGGGTCGAGGCAGATAGTCGTGAGGAAGCAACGACCGCTTAATGTCTAGTCAACGCGTTGCTCGTGCCTTCTAATTACCCACACGTGACGCTACCTCTTTGGGAAGCACGGTTCGCGACTGCCTCTTGCAGCAGTGCACAAGAGCACAAAATCTCCAACAACGTGAAAGGTGTCAACTGCATCCCTCCTACACTCTCCCTCACCCGCGCTGCTCCCACTTGTCGTGTGTTATTTCCAGCGGCATTCGACGCCGGCTTGCTGCTAGTGGTGACGCGGGGATTTTTGGTCTAGTGCCCATTGCTTCCAAGGTTCGGCGTTGCTCCAATCGCGCCCATCCCTGTGCGGACCCCTTTCCTCCACCCAGCGACGGACGGCACCACGACTTCCCTTTCCAACGTCGCAGCCTCCGGACAACCACGCCATTTTCCTTCGCAGCCATCTGCACCACCTTCAATTCATTGCTTTGAGTGCATCACTCACTCGAGAGCATAACTACCGCTGACTGGTACGCCGCCCTTCCCTCACGCCTGTCTCACTTTATTTCTCCCGATCTGGGCTTGGTCGCGTTGTTACATTTGTTTAGCAGCCACGCAGCCAACACCAGCACGCATTGAGAACCTCCGCTGACATCGCTTCCTCATCTGCAGAAGTCTCTCACTTGACGACCCATCGTCCGTTTCTACTACACTATTTACACCATGGGTAAGGAGCTCTCCCCGACCCCCGTCTCGCGACATCAACAACTACACCTCCGCTACGGCATCATTGGCACCTCAGGCACACACGCGGTGGCTCTTGGGCAACGCCAAGCAGGGTCAAACCTGTTTGGCATTGGTCGCTGCTGCCGCGCTCGACGGCCGTGATTTCTCTCCCCTGGCCCCTGGCTAACATACTGCTGTAGAATCCAACGGTGCTACCTCTCCCGCGCCGCCCACCCGTGCGTCTCCATCGCCCCCAGCGTCGTCCAGCGGATACGGCATGGATCAAACGATGTCGATGTCTAACGGCTCCTCTCCAGCGGTGCACACCATCACGGCGAAGAACCCCAAGGCCGCAGCTGCCATGGCAAACGACATGAACATCGTGCGCAGGAAGCTCACAGGCTACGTTGGTTTTGCGAACCTGCCCAACCAGTGGCACCGCAAGAGTGTGCGCAAGGGATTCAACTTCAACGTTATGGTTGTCGGTACGTGTACCCCCGCCCACGAGTTGTCCATCCGAGCTAACGTGTCATTTCAGGCGAGTCTGGACTCGGAAAGTCGACCCTTGTAAACACGCTCTTCAACACTTCGCTGTACCCGCCCAAGGAGCGCAAGCCCCCCAGTCTCGACATCTCCAAGACCGTATCGATCCAGTCGATTAGCGCCGATATCGAGGAGAACGGTGTCCGCCTGAGGTTAACAGTAGTCGACACACCCGGCTTTGGCGACTTCATCAACAACGATGAGTCCTGGGACCCCATTGTCAAGAACATTGAGCAGCGCTTCGACGCCTACTTGGATGCTGAGAACAAGGTCAACCGCATGAACATTGTCGACAACCGCATCCACGCCGTTGTTTACTTCATCCAGCCCACTGGCCACTCCCTGAAGCCCATCGACATTGAGGTGATGAAGAAGCTCCACACCAAGGTCAACCTGATTCCCGTCATTGCCAAGGCCGACACCGTTACTGACGATGAAATTGATAACTACAAGAAGAGGGTACGTCGCTCCATCTACATGTTTGGACACGGCTAATGATTACAGATTCTTGCAGATATCGCCTACCACAAGATCCAGATCTTCGAGGGCCCACGGTATGAGCTTGACGACGAGGAGACCATTGCGGAGAACCAGGAGATCATGGCCAAGGTTCCCTTCGCCGTTGTCGGTTCCAACACCGAGGTCACGACTGTTGACGGCCGCAAGGTCCGCGGGCGTGCGCTGCCCTGGGGTGTCGTCGAGGTCGACAACGAGGAGCACTGCGACTTTGTCAAGCTGCGCCAGATGCTGATCCGCACCCACATGGAGGAGCTCAAGGAGAACACTAACAACGCTCTGTACGAGAACTACCGCTC